TAGGTGATGAAAGATTGGATATCAGGTTGGAGGGAGAGAGTATGGAGGAGGTGAATGTATTCAGATACTTGGGAGTGGACGTGTCAGCGGATGGGTCTACGAAAGACGAGGTGAATCATAGAATTGATGAGGGGAAAAGGGTGAGTGGTGCACTTAGGAGTCTGTGGAGACAAAGAACTTTGTCCTTGGAGGCAAAGAGGGGAATGTATGAGAGTATAGTTTTACCAATGCTCTTATATGGGTGTGAAGCATGGGTGATGAATGTTACAACGAGGAGAAGGCTGGAGGCAGTGGAGATGTCATGTCTGAGGGCAATGTGTGATGTGAATATAATGCAGAGAATTCGTAGTTTGGAAGTTAGGAGGAGGTGCGGGATTACCAAAACTGTTGTCCAGAGGGCTGAGGAAGGGTTGTTGAGGTGGTTCGGACATGTAGAGAGAATGGAGCGAAACAGAGTGACTTCAAGAGTGTATCAGTCTGTAGTGGAAGGAAGGCGGGGTAGGGGTCGGCCTAGGAAAGGTTGGAGGGAGGGGGTAAAGGAGGTTTTGTGTTCGAGGGGCTTGGACTTCCAGCAGACTTGCATGAGCGTGTTTGATAGGAGTGAATGGAGACAAATGGTTTTTAATACTTGACGTGCTGTTGGAGTGTGAGCTAAGTAACATTTATGAAGGGGTTCAGGGAAACCGGCAGGTTGGACTTGAGTCCTGGAGATGGGAAGTACAGTGCCTGCACTCTGAAAGAGGGGTGTTAATGTTGCAGTTTAAAAACTGTAGTGTAGAGCACCCTTCTGGCAAGACAGTGATGGAGTGAATGATGGTGAAAGTTTTTCTTTTTCGGACCACCCTGCCTTGATGGGAATCGGCCAGTGTGATAATAATAATAATAATAATAATAATAAATTAAGCCAAGCAGTGTACAACTGCAAAAGAATGTAATGTAATGTTAATGTAATGTTTTGCCTAAGGCTGGGCTTTATCATACTCGATAAGGCCCAGACTTGGGTGAAATATTGTATTAAATGCATTATCTGCTACCATTGTCTGTTCCCACTTGTCAGCTTTCACCATTGTCTACCTACGGTAGTTATGTATTTTATCCCTCTCCCCCTTAAAAAAAATTCATGGGCATTAAATAGAAAATAATATTGTCTTGGTCTCTATCTCAGGAAATTTTACCCTTTCACTGTCAAGACCCTTGCTCACACACTTGCATCCAGTGTCAGAGAATTTTCAAAAAAAAAAAAAAAAAAAAAATTCTTATGAAATGATAATCTTTTTCCCAATGGTAATGACACCAAAAGTACAAAATTTGATGGAAAACCTATGGAATTATGCTCTCGTGAAGCTTGCAGTCTCGGTGATATTTACGCATAAGTGATTTTGCCCACTTTGAGCCCTATTCTCGGCCAATTCCATTGTTCCATTCGACCAAACTCATAGCTATTTAGCTAGAACTCCTTTTGTTCTGTCAACTGAGCACAAGAAACTGCCCATTTAGCTATTTCAACTGCCCACTAAAGCTAAAGTGATCAGAAATTAGTAATTTGGCCAATTTCTCACACAGTTCAAGGAAGGCCAGTTTCAAAATAGGGCACAGAATTAACAATGCAAACATTCCTAGCACTAAAATAACATTTTCTCTGTTCATTAGTCACATCTCTGGGCCCTTCTTATACAATGGACCCCCGAGTTTCGGCAGCCTTGACTTTCGTGAAATTCGACCTTCGGCGATTTTTTTTTGGGGGGGGGGAATTTGGCCTCGAGTTTCATGAAAAGACTCGTGTTTTGGCGACTGTCCGGTACCCGTCCGCCCGCCACCGCGCACACCAAGCCAGTCTCCCACGTCATTTACGCTCAGTGTGCCATTGTTTACCAACACGTGACCATCACCCCGCGGGTTCATACAATACATTTCATAATAATCCATTGTTTTTTGTGCTTGCAACTGCTAAATAAGTCATCATGGACCCAAGGAAACCTAGTTGAAGCCCTTTGGTAAATAAAGTGAGTGACAGGGATGTGGAAGAGTTGGTGGAGGACCACAGGGAAGAGCTAACCACTGACGAACTGCAAGAGCTTCAACTGGAACAGCATCAGACTACAGCCGAGGAACTTGCTTCAGAGGAGGAGGAAGAGGGAGTGGATGAGGTGCCTTCTTCAGTGATTAAGGACATGTGTGGAATGTGGAATGAGTTGCAAAGTTTTGTTGAAAAGTGTTACCCTGACCAAGCTGAAACAAGCCATATCTGCAACATGTACAATGACAGTGTTGTGTCCCACTTAAGGGAAATCTTAAAGAAACGCCAGAAAAAACCTCTCTAGACAGATATTTTGTGCGACAGGGGTCCAGTGACTCTCAAGTTGTTCCCAGTGGCATTAAAAGAAGAAGGGAAGTAACCCCAGATAAGGACTTGCTACCTAAAGTCCTAATGGAAGGAGATTCTCCTTCCAAACAATAGTGTACACCTTCCTCCTATCACCTCCTCCCGTCTTCCATCCACGCAGAAGTCTTCAGTAAAGGTAAGTGTAATGTTGTTATTATTTTTTTAAATGCATGTACTTGATTTCTGATTGTTTTCATTATGTAAATCTTTATTTAATTTGAAAAGAAATATTTTATTTTAATATTTTTGGATGTTTGGAACGGATTAATTTTATTTCCATTATTTCTTATGGGGAAAATGGTTTCGGGTTTCGTGAATTTCAACCTTCGGCAGGCTCTCTGGAATGGATTAATCACGAAACTCAGGGGTCCACTGTATTACGCTTGCTTTCAATTTTTAATTTTTATTCACAAAAAAAAATATATATATATATAATATTTACTGTTATGCAGATTAGTGCATTATTGTACAAATGGTAAAAATAATATCAGCTCATTTGTGAAAGCACACTAGACCCACCAGTTCATGTGTATTCGACTCGTAACGTGATTTGTTTACTCTTGAACATCAGCAAAAATTAAACATTTCCGCTACTTTGAGGTTAATTTCAAGGTACGTTTAGTCCGTAAACCATTCAAAATCATCTCTAGTTATGTAATGTATCTTCCATTCTGTCAAATGAGAGCAAGATAACAAGAATACAACCTTAAATACCATACAAAAATACACTGCAAAGTCACTGTTTTAAATGAAAAACGTGATTGAAATTTTTTTTCTCGTTATGCACTGTGTGCTGCAGAATTTTTTTTATACTGTGCACACTGACCACTCAGACCCATTCTCTCACATGTAGGCCTACCAGCATTCTCCCGCAAGATTGGAAGACGCTAGAATTTTGGCGTACTATTACAGGACTGACACTCGTTTGCAAGCCATAGTACTACAGGACCGACGGTGAAAGGGTTAAATACAACCACTCCTCACTTAGCGACGTACTCGTTTACCGACGACTCGGACTTACGAAAGGCTGTCTGACCAGTATGCATACCTAAATAATGTACATTAGAGCTGATTTCCTCTATTCTGTTTATTACAATATACATGTACAGTACACTACTGTATAAACTTTTAAAAATATACCAGAAATGTTTTAAATGGTGCAAAGGTGTCATTAAAACAATATCAAAGATGGTTGACACAAATCCACTGCCATTAGCGACTAATTCGTTTACCGACATAGTCTTAGGAATAGAATTCCATCTTTAAGCGAGGCAAGACTGTATGATATTATGGATAAATTATTGAAGATGTGATTCAACAAATACAGCTCTACTCCAGTGGCTACAAATAGATAATAACTTGTCAGTGGTTGAAGGAAATTACATGTAGACCAAGGCATGAGAATAGGTGACCTGTATAGTTTGATTTCATTCCGAGATCCTCATCAACAAAGTACATAGTTTATTTTTTCTTGGTAATATGCTTAAATTTTCTTATTTTGAGTAAGCTGTGTTGGAAAAAGGGTTACTAGCCCATTGCTCCTGGCATTGTAATCGACTTTTACATCATGCATGGCTTAGGGAGGAAAGATTCTTATTCTACTTCCCTATGGATATGAAAAGAAAAGTAATAAGAATAAGAACTATTAAGATAAAATCAAAGAAAACACAGATGAGTGTGTATACATAAACAAGTACATGCACGTGTAGTATGACCTAAGTGTAAGTAAAAATAGCAAGATATACCTGTTATCTTGTGTGTTTATGAGACAGAAAAAAGAAACCAGCCCTCCTTCCATTATGCAAAACAAATACAGGTTTCTGTTTCACACTCATTTGGTAGGACAGTAGTACCTCCCTGTGTGGTTGCTGTCTACCAACCTTCTACCTATCAATGCTGCAACAAGTGGAGATGTCATGTCTAAGGGCAGTGTGTGCTGTAAATATTATGCAGAAAATCAGTAGTGTGGGAATTAGGAGGAGGTGTGGAGTTAGTAAAAGTATTAGTCAGAGGGCTGAAGAGGGTTTGTTAAGATGGTTCGGTCATTTAGGAATCGAACAAAGTAGAATGACTTGGAGAGCATATAAATCTCTGGGGGAAGGAAGGTGGAGTAGGAGGTCATCATCAAAAAGGTTGGAAGGAGGGGGTAAAGGTTTTGTGGGCTAGGGGCTTGGACTTCCAGCAAGTGTGTATGAGCATGTTAGATAGGAGTGAATGGAGACGAATGGTTTTTGGGACCTGATCAGCTGTTTGAATGTGAGCAGGGTAATATTTTGTGAAGGGATTCAGGAAAACTGGTTAGCCAAGTTAAGTCCTGGAAATGAGAAGTACAATGTCTGCACTTTAAAGGAGGGGTTGGGATATAGGCTGTTTTGAGTGACATCTAAACTGTCATATCTGATCACCTCTGCAAAGACAGTGATTATGTATGAATGATGGTGAAAGTGTTGAATGATGATGAAAGTGTTGAATGATGATGACAATTTTTTCTTTCTTTTTTGGGTTTTCTTTTGTTTTTGGGTCACTCTGCATCAGTGGGAAATGGTTGACGTGATAAATAAAATAGATGCTTAAATTTTTCAATTTAATTAAATGTATTAATTTTATTTTCTTACAGGAAAGAGAATGGCCTTCCTTCCAAAGAAAAGGATGATCGTAGTGAAAGACGGCGTGATAGGCCTTCTAGATTTGAGCGCACACTAACCCGATCACCGCAAGTAGGGGAAGACAAAATATGTTTGGTTGAGCGGTTGCGTACCCTGGCATCTGGGGGTGATATGGAACCACGGGACAGATATGATCGAGATAGACAAGATAGAGATCAAGAGAGAGGCCGGGATATGCATGAAAGAGATGACCGTGTTCTTGAGAGAGATCATGGCCGTGATCTGAGGGCACGAGAAAGCAGTAAGTATAATTTTAGCTTAAAGTATGTTGTTTGAGCATTTAAGGCAGTGTTTCCTGACTTAGAGAGTTCGATCCCTCAAGTGGGCTTTTTTAAAATTCTCTCAGAATGATGCTCATAGAAAGTTGGTGTTGAAGCCTTATTACACATTCAAGCAGTACATGTATTTCCTCCACACCATTGCTCTTGAACATAACACCCAGTCCCTCCCCAGCCCTTCGAATTAAGCCTTTGGTGATCCCATCTTTTAATTTCTACACTCCAAACCTTCTGCAGACTATTCATACCACACATTTTTCTCAAGCTTGACATCTCCACTGCTTTTGGTCACTCTCGATTCTGCCGTTGAAGCCTGTTCATCATACCTATATACGTGTACAAGTGTTGGTACCTCCATACTCTTATTCATTCCTTTTATTTGCCTCCATAGATTGAACTTCTACAGATGATTCAACAACCACTTACTGTCCTTTTCCCCCTCATCTATTCTGTGGTTCACCTTATCTTTTATAGACCCATCTGCTAACGTGTTCACACTCTACCTAAATACATCCTAAACTTACACCTTGTATCAGATCCAACACGTCTCCTCAGTACGCTGAGGTCAGTGGTCACGTGTGGTCATACCTGTTGTGAGCTGTCTGGGTATTAGTGTGGGGTGTTACCAAGCACCATGGCTTGTTGTAGTGTTTTAGAATCTCAGGTTAAAGTGTTGAAGAAGGAGGTTCTACTTCTTCAGGAGGAAAACAGGAGGCTGAAGCTTTGCCTTGATGTGTTTGAGAGTGAGTGTGAGATAGCTGGTGCTGGAAAGGAGGAAATGCTTACCACCAGTGAAAATGGCAGCTACTTTAAGTGGCAAGTGGTTTACAGTTCAGGAAGAAGGAAGATAAGGAGGGTTAAGGTAGGAAATCGATTCTCTGTTCTCCAAGACGAGTGTACTTCAGTGGTTAGTGAGGTTAAAGGTACCTCTGATTCCCCTGCTAATCAAGGTAAGAATATTCTGATTGTGGGAGAGACTCGGGTAACATATATGGACCGTGCTTTTTGTAACAGAGATAGAAAAGTCAGACAGGAGCTGGTGTTGGTGACATAGTCAGCAGGTTGGATATTATGATGTCATGTAATGGGAACAAGCCCATTATCTGTCTTAGTGCTGGTGGAAATGACATTGGGAAGGGCAGGAGACAGGAGCTACTGGATAAGTACAGGTCAGCCATAGAAGTAGTCTGGTCTAAGGGAGGGATCCCAGTCATATGTAGCATCTTGCCTAGAAAGGGAGTGGGCAATGAATGGATGTCTAAGGCAATTGGTATAAATTGCTGGCTAGACAGGTACTGCAAGGAACTTGCAATCCCATTCATTGATAACTGGGACAGATTCTATGGCAAACATGATATGTATGCAAGGGATGGGGTTCATCTCTTTGGGGTTGGAGTGGTTGCATTAGCCATTTGATTGAGGGGGTAATTGATGACTTGTCTAGGACTTCAAACTGATAGATTATAGAGGTATGGGTGTTTGTGGGAAACAATCAGGCTGCAGTGTTGTTGTTGGAAACAGATTTTACCAGGATACCTCAGAGATATGTTTAAAAGACAATATTCAAAATAAAGTTCCTAATAAAGGCAAAGCAACTGATCAACAAACAAAAAGAGATAGTAGAGGACAACGAGTGACTAGCTCCCTTAAGGTTTACTATACAAATAGTAGGAGTCTAAGAAATAAGATAGATGAGCTAAGATTACTCGCAAGTGCAGGTAATATAGATATTATTGCTATAACAGAGACCTGATTCAACTTGAAGGATAGAGAAATGCCTTCTGAATGCAGCATAAAGGGTTATAAACTATTCCACACTGACAGGGTCAACAGGAAGGGTGGTGGAGTGGCAATGTATGTCAGAGATAATTTAACTTGTTGTGTTAGACACGATATAAGAATAGAAACATCGGACACAGAATCTGTTTGGCTACAGTTTCTCAAGGGGTATGAAAAATGAATTTTGGGTGTGATATATAGGCCTCCAAACCTTGACAGGGAGTGCAGTAAGCTGCTATGGGACGAAATTCATAATGCATCTAGATATGAAAGTGTTGTGTTAATGGGAGATTTTAACTTTAGACAAATTGATTGGAACAGTTTGACAAGTTGATCAGGTTCTGATCCACCAGGAGGCCTGGTCACAGACTGGGCCGCGGGGGCGTTGACCCCTGGAACTCTCTCAAGGGCTCCAGGTAAACTCCAGGAAATCTTGAGTCTAGTGACTTTCTTGATACAATTCTGGATTGCTTTTTAAAACAGTTTGTGACAGAACCAACTAGAGGAAACAATCTGCTTGACTTGGTTCTAGCCAACAAAGATTCACTAATTAATTAATAATCTTGAGGTTAATGATGAGCTTGGGGAAAGCGATCACAAATCACTTAGTTTCAATATATTTTGGAATTACCCAGTAAACTGCAATCAAGTCCCAGTCCTAGACTTTCGACTGGCTGATTTCACAGGACTGAAAAATTACCTGGGTGGGCTAAATTGAGATTATCTGACTATGGGTCAGGTAGCTGGTGTGTGTTGCCAATATGACATTTTTTCAGAGCATAGTTCTAGCTGCTCAGTCAACTTTTGTTCCGAGTAGGGAAATTAGATCTAACAAAAATGGTCCCAAATGAATGAACAATAGATTAAAACATCTCATTGGTCAAAAGAGAGGCATTCTTAGGCATATCAAAAGAGGGGATGTGCAGTTAAGAAATCAATATATTCAATTAAAGAGAGAAATAAAAAAAGGAATAAGAAAAGCAAAGAGGGATTATGATTCTAAGGTCGCAAGGGATTCGAAGACTAACCCAAAATGGTTCTTTCAAGTATACAGAAGTAAGATTAGAGACAAAATAGGCCAACTTAAGAGTAGCTCAGGTCAGATCACTGACAGTGATAGGGATATGTGTGAAATTTTCAATTCTTACTTCCTCTCAATTTTTACTCAGGAAGACACTAACGAAATTCCAGAAATAATAAATTATGTAGAACAGGACGATAAACTATGCATGATTGCAGTAACTAGTGACATGGTCCTTAGACAGATAGAGAAATTAAAACCAGACAAATCCCTAGGCCCTGATGAATTGTTTGCAAGGGTGTTAAAGGAATGTAAAGAGAACTTTTCAGACCTTTGGCTAATCTTTTCAACATATCACTACAAACTGGCATAGTGCCTGATAAGTGGAAAATGGCAAATGTAATACCTATTTACAAGGCAGGTGACAGGTCCTTAGCTTCGAACTATAGACCAATAAGCCTTACCTCCATAGTGGGAAAATTTATGGAATCAATAATTGCCGAGGCAATTCGTAGCCATCTTGAATGGCATAAATTGATAAATGAATCTCAACACGGTTTTATTAAGGGCGTTCCTGTCTTAAGAATTTACTAATTTTTTCGCTAAGGCGTTTGAGGAGGTAGATCAAGGTAATGATTATGATATTGCGTATATAGATTTCAGTAAGGCTTTCGATAGAGTTCCACATCAGAGACTTTTGAGGAAACTTAAGGCACACGGAATAAGAGAAATTTTTTCCTGGGTAGAGGCATGGTTGACAAACAGGCAGCAAAGAGTTTGCATAAATGGTGAGAAATCAGAATAGGGGCACGTCACAAGCGGTGTTCCACAGGGGTCAGTGTTGGGCCCCTTGTTCACAATTTACATAAACGATATAGATGAGGGAATGAATAACGACATAAGCAAATTTGCTGATGACACCAAAATAGGCCGTCCAATTCATTCTATTGAGGACATTAGTGCACTCCTGGATGATTTGAATAGACTGATGCAGTGGTCGGAGAAATTGCAGATGCAGTTTAATATAGACAAATGCAAAGTGCTAAATGTTGGACAGGACAATAACCATGCCACTTATAAACTGAATAGTGTAGATCTTAATACTACTAACTGCAAAAAGGATTTAGGAGTTCTGGTTAGCAGTAATCTGAAACCAAGACAACAGTGCACAAGTGTTTGCAATAAAGCTAACAGAATCCTTGGCTTCATATCAAGAGGTATAAATAATAGAAATCCTCAGGTTGTTCTTCAGCTCTATATATCCTTGGTTAGGCCTCATTTAGATTATGCTACACAGTTTTGGTCACCATATTACAGAATGGATGTAAATGCATTGGAAAATGTAAAGAGGAGGATGACAAAGTTGATCCCATGTATCAGAAATCTTCCCTATGAAGATAGCCTAAGGGCCCTGAATCTGCACTCTCTAGAAAGGCATAGAATTAGGGGGGATATGATTGAGGTGTATAAATGGAAAACAGGAATAAATAAAGGGGATGTAAATAGCATGCTGAAAATATCCAGCCGAGACAGACATGGTTTCAAGTTGGAAAAGTTCAGATTCAGGAAGGACATAGGAAAGCACTGGTTTGGTAATAGAGTTGTAGATGAGTGGAACAAACTCCCAAGTACTGTCATAGAAGCTAAGACCTTGTGTAGTTTTAAAAATAGATTGGATAAATTCATGAGTGGGTGTGGGTGGGTGTGAGTTGGACCTGACTAGCTTGGGCTACCAGGTCTGGTGCCATGCTTCTTCCTTAAGTGGAAATGACCTGACTAGGTGGTCATTATTCAAGGCCAGGGGGTGGCATGGACCTGCTTCGCATGGGTCAGTAGGCCTGTTGCAGTGTTCCTTCTTTCATATGTTCTTACGTTCTTAACTCTCAGGTATCAATTCCTTTTACAACTCCATCTATATATATATTAAACAACCATGGTGACATCATGCACACCTATTTCAGCCCTACTTCACTGGAAAATAATCTCCCCACTACCTCTCCCCTATACCTTAACCTGACTGTAGATACTTACATTTAAACCCTTAACTTCTATTTTTGTACATTTGCAACATATGCCACGTTGCTTCCATATCCACCATATCATCCACTTCTTCTAAACCCATATATGCAACAAGCAGCTCATTTATTTAAGCACTGCTCACTT